TGGCTATACACCCCTATTGTCAACCCTGGTCAGCTCTCTGCATCATCAATATTGCCTTGCTATCAACTGGACAGGATATAAAATTCAGTTTCATGACTAGCAGGGTGTGAGTAGTATGCATTCACTGTGCAATTAAATCCAGTCTCCCACACAAACTGGGGACATGTTACTGTAGTATATACAGTAATGAATATAAAAAATCACTCTGTGCTACCCTATTTTCCTATCCAAACCCACAAAGCTGAAAGTTTGAGTTATCCCTCTGGATAATCACAACAAATTACATCAAAATACTCAGTGTTATACCCCCACCAGTAATCACATAACTTATTACGTATTACCCCACCAGTAATCACATGACTTATTACTGATTACCCCCACCAGTAATCACATGACTTATTGCTGATTACCTCCACCCCCACCAGTAATCACATGACTTATTTGCTGATTACCCCCACCAGTAATCACATGACTTATTACTGATTACCCCCACCAGTAATCACATGACTTATTCACGATTATTACTGATTACCCCCCACCAGTAATCACATGATTATTACTGATTACCCCCCCCACCAGTAATCACGATTATTACTGATTACCCCCACCAGTAATCACATGACTTGTTGCTGATTACCCCACCAGTAATCACATGATAAAAAAAAATGTGCCAAACCCCGAAAAACGGCCGACCAATTAACCCATTACCGGTGCGAAAATCAGCCGATTTTTTTTTTCGGCCGAAAAAATTGGCCAATTTTTTGACCCGTCTATGGCCTGCATTAAGCAGAGTTCTATGGAATCCTAAGATTCCTCCAGAATTTCTCAGGTGTTCCTTGTGCTGTGGTTGATTGACCTGCTATTGTGCCTGCATAGTTACAGAGTCAATGGCATTTGGCAGAGCCAGCAACATGACACCAAGAATCTATTTTACTGCTTGCAAAGAGGGGCATTCTTCTTACTGACCACCAATGTAAATCTGGCCATACATGGATTGAAATATTGGCCTGTTCAGCAGGGCCCAGCCAAATTTTGATCCATAAATAGAAAAGATGGCAGTATGACAAGTGCAACACTGCCTGCAAAAAGTGATTAATTGAAAACCCATGCGCAGTAATGTAACTGCATAGATAATAGCTACAAAAATATTTTATTGGATCACATGGATCATAAAGAGGTTAGACATAGACACGGTGAACAAATCATAATAAAATCAAAAAATTAAAAAACATTCAACATCTTCAAATCTGGTTAATTATCGGCAAAAAGGAATCCACATAAGGCAATGAAGTTTCCTAACTACATAATCAAAGAATTCCATATGGTTCCACATAGTATCTGGATAGGGAGATCATTCTTCAGAAATATTCTTTGGTAAACACCACAATAAATGGAATGACTCCTCCACTTGATAATCTACTTGAAGATTTTTTCTTTTGAATATGGCCATCCTCGTAATGTCACTATTAATTATATGTCTTTTTATGTGATTTTGGATTTTAATGTAGTGATGGTTTTTCAACACAAGAGGGCGACATAAACAATTTTATGTGCAATTAAGGCACTATATAAGGCAATGGAAGAGAAGTCCCCTCCCAGTTCTGACGAAGTCTGCGGTGATTGGCAGACGAAACGCGTTAACGTGACGACATCATTACGCTCGGCGTCTTCATAGGGTGCGGTGCCCACGAGGAGGGAAGAAGCAGTTTGCTTCAGCTCCATATTGGAAAGGCACGAGGCATTTAGACCACGATGAGGCTATCATACTAAGCAGCCCGTTCATGGCGACTTAGAGTCACAGCTCACTTCCACCGCTGGCAAGTTATTAGCTTGTTTGGCTTAGATAGCCTCAATCGCTATTTTTACACGGGGAGTATACTCCGTATATTGGGAATCATGTGCCCCTTTTTGGGGGAATTTTTGAACTCCTATCAGAGGAATACGTTTATACTACGCTACATACAGTGGGGATCGAAAGTTTGGGCACCCCAGCTAAAAATTTGTATTAATGTGCATAAAGAAGCCAAGGAAAGATGGAAGAATCTCCAAAAGGCATCAAATTACAGATTAGACATTCTTATAATATGTCCACAAATGTTAGATTTTATTTCCATCATTTACACTTTCAGAATAACAGAAAACAAAAAAATGGCGTCTGCAAAAGTTTGGGCACCCTGCAGAGTTAATATCTTGTACTGCCCCCTTTGGCAAGTATCACAGCTTGTAAACGCTTTTTGTAGCCAGCCAGGAGTCTTTCAATTCTTGTTTGAGGTATCTTTGCCCATTCTTCCTTACAAAAGTCTTCCAGTTCTTTGAGATTTCTGGGCTGTCTGTCACGCACTGCTCTTTTAAGCTCTAGCCATAGATTTTCAATTATGTTGAAGTCAGGAGATTGTGAAGGCCATGGCAAAACCTTCAGTTTACGCCTCTTGATGTAATCCCCCCTGGATTTCGAGGTGTGTTTAGGATCATTATCCATTTGTAGAAGCCATCCTCTCTTTAACTTCAGCTTTTTCACAGATGGCATCAAGTTACCATCCAAAATTTGCTGAAATTTTATTGAATCCATTTTTCCTTCTACTCGTGAGATGTTCCCTGTGCCACTGGCTGCAACACAACCCCAAAGCATGATTGATCCAACCCCATGCTTAACAGTTGGACAGAGGTTCTTTTCATTAAATTCTGTGCCCCTTCTTCTCCAAACGTACCTTTGCTCATTCCGGCCAAAAAGTTCAATTTTAACCTCATCGGTCCACAGAACTTGTTTCCAAAATGCATCAGGCTTGTCTATATGTTCATTTGCAAAGTTCAAACGATGATTTTTGTGGTGAGGACGTAGAAGAGGTTTTCTTCTGATGACTCTTCCATGCACACCATATTTGTACAAGTATCTCTTTATAGTGGAATAGTGTACCACAACTCCAGTGTCTGCCAGATCTTTCTGGAGAGATCGTGCAGTCAAACGTGGGTTTTGAATTGTTTTTCTCACAATCCTGCGAGCTGTTCTGTCTGATATTTTTCTTGGTCTTCCAGATCTTGCTTTTACTTCCACTGTTCCTGATGACTGCCTTTCTTAATTACATTCCGAACAGAGGATATTGACATCTGAAAACACTTTGCTATCTTCTTATAGCCTTCTCCAGCTTTGTGAGCGTCAACTATTTTCAGTTTCAGTTTTCTAGACAACTGCTTAGAAGAACCCATGGTGCTGATTGTTGGGGCAAGGTCAGATGAGTCTGGGCATTTAAAACCTTTGAGATTGACATCACCTGGTCTTCCCAGACGATGATTGAGAACAATCCATGACACTGGCAGGTCTCAGCTTGGCAAAGGGGGCAGTGCATGCTATAAATTCTGCAGGGTGCCCAAACTTTTGCAGACGCCATTTTTTTGTTTTCTGTTATTTTGAAAGTGTAAATGATGGAAATAAAATCTAACTTTTGTTGAAATATTATAAGAATGTCTAATCTGTAATTTGATGCATATTGGAGATTTTTCCATCTTTCCTTGGCTTCTTTATGCACATTAATACAAATTTTTAGCTGGGGTGCCCAAACTTTCGATCCCCACTGTATGTGCTGTGATATGTGATATCAGTCTCATATATATCTAAAAGGAACGGCATCATTTCTCAGCAAGAGCAATTTTTGGAAACCCTGCTTTGGGTATATATATTCAGGTACATACTGCCTGCTATAATCAGCTTGGACTTTATATGTATAGACCACCTGGTTTTCACCCCCATATTCATCATCAGAAACACAAAGACCTGATCTCATTTCAAGTGAGGTGGAGTCTCCTTGATTTTATATATGGTAATATATTTTTTACCCTTACATTTATTCTATTCAGGTATTTTGTTTGATATTCATGATTTATGTTTATACATTCCGAGAATCACTTGCTATTGTGGATTCATTTCCATTTGGGGTGGTCACCCAGGAAGGCTCTACATTCATTTTTTCATGATGGTCAAGCTAATGAGAAGGTAATGGAATTACTAGTTTACCACCAAGTTTGGTTATCCTGTTTTAGTACATGATCAGTGCATATATTATTTTTTTTATGTTTCCACTACAATTATCCTTCTTTGGTTTCCATTATAGGAAGTCATTCCATTTATTGTGGTGTTTACCAAAGAATATTTCTGAAGAATGATCTCCCTATCCAGATACTTTGTGGAACCATATGGAATTCTTTGATTATGTAGTTAGGAAACTTCATTGCCTTATGTGGATTCCTTTTTGCCGATAATTAACCAGATTTGAAGACGTCGAATGTTTTTTAATTTTTTTATTTTATTATGATTTGTTCACCGTGTCTATGTCTAACCTCTTTATGATCCATGTGATCCAATAAAATATTTTGTAGCTATTATCTATGCAGTTACATTACTCCGCATGGGTTTTCAATTAACCACTTTTTGCAGGCAGTGTTGCACTTGTCATACTGCCATCTTTTCTATTTAGTATCCTGGGTTTATAAATCCACACTTATATTGTAAGTGAGACGGAGATATTATTATGACACGGATATACGTGTCAAACTAGGTGGCTCCTTTATTTTTGTCTGGCAAATTTTGATTCATGCATGCCCACTGCAGCTGAACAGAAGTCAATCTACCAACTGACTTCTGTTCAACTGCCCTATCGTATGAAAGCCAATCAATGAGCACAACAGGCAATATGCTGCAGAGCTTATTTGTGTGTTCTGACAGTGAGTTAATCTCCCCACTGTCAGAATGCAATAGCATAGCAGGGAGGGTTCCCCCATCCACTTCAAATGTGTGGATGGGGGAATCAGGTCAGTTTTTTTTTTGTTCAACCCACTGGTTGAACAAAAGAAACTGACTAATGTGTGGCCAATTTAAGGGTCATTTTCCCACCGACCTCCAATAAATTGGTTTTAGCAGGGATTCCCAAAGGCCTTAAAATTATTTCAAGGGTTTTTCTGGGGTAAATAGGTCGAGAAAGGCTGAACTAGATCCTGGGTATCTTTACCTGTGTGTGCAAAAGCAGGGAGTCTCCGGTCCCACAAGTTTACAGTCTAATCCGGTTGGTGATCTCCAGCTCACAAATAATCTGTTTTGCATTCGATTTGGAAGTACTGTTTTCTTGTATTCCTCATATTCTTCTGGGGTAAAAAGTTTTCCTCCATCATCTTCACCAACAATTCTTAAAAAAAAAAAAAAAACAAAAAATAAACATAAAAGTCCTGCATTAATCACAATGAGACCAAAATAAAAAGAGAGGATTATGTTATTTTTGTGCACATGATTCACAGTTTAAATCCCAACTCCAGAAAAAAAACTTCTTTTGACTTTGAGTGGAGACATATCAAGACGAAACAAAGGCAGCAATAAAGAAACTCATTAGTAAACTTTCCCCACTGTACCAATAAAAAATATTTTTGATTGTCTCACTATCCCCATTGGGGAGATGTCTCATCACTTTCTGAGCAGAGGTCTACCTAAGGGGGGCACAGACCTCAATAAAAGCCAGGAAGGGGTTCTAACCTCCTCTACTCTATCCAAAAAAAATGTTCTGGCTGAAAACAGTTTTAAAAACTAAATCTGCATGAAACATATTTTTAAACTGTGCAGTTACTTTTAATGCTTGATGCACACTAGCGTTTTGGGGGGGGTTTTAAGCTAACAAAGCTCTGGATAAAAATGCTGGTAATAGTGGTTTTTAGTAGTGTTTAGTAGCGTTAGTATTTTATTAGCGTTTTTATAGTACATGTAGGGGAAAAAAAGAGCTAGAAAAAAGTTGTTAGGAGCGTTTTAATAGCGTTTAGAAGCATTTCGCTTTTTTTCTGCCAGAAACAACGCTCCCAAAAACTCAACAAAAACTATTTTTTTTCTGCTTCTAAATGCTGAAGGTTGAAAAGTGCTAATATCCTAAAATAGTGTGCATGGACACACACTATTCACCTTCTACGAGCAGAAAAAAAAAATACAGATAACAGCTTCTAGGAGTTTAAAAAAAAACAGTGTGCATGGAGCCTAATGCTTCATAAGATTCCCACTTACTTGAGAATTTGACACACAGAAAAATAAAAACAGAGAGAACCATTACAGCTGGGGAGACCTTGACAGAACTCAGGAATGATTGCACTGCAAAAATATTTTACAGGTTTCAGTAGTACTTATTGCTGCTGGATAAAGAAGACAGTCATAAAATTTTGCTCATGTTGGTCTGAATGCTCGCTGTAATACTGCTGCACCGGGAGGGTGTAAAAAGTCAGGGTAGCTTTAGACATTGCATCATCATTCCTTTGAAACGTTCCTAAAGCAGTAAAGATCTACATACTGTTCTGACACTGGGGCTGCACATAAAAACCAAGAGATCATGTTATATATAGGGACTGATAATATTTCAGAAGCCTTTTTACCAGCAGCGCACACAATTTCTGACACCTTACTGACCGCTCTGGCTGACCTCATAAACTTCTGCTGCTCCTATTTTCTAGATCAGGAGTGTCCAAAATATGGCCTGCACACATCTGGCCTACAAGAAGATTTTATTCAGCACGACAACTGTCTGTGTAAATACCCCAGCTGGCTGGTAGTGGATGCCCCGGTCTGTGTATTGTAATATGGAGACTGGTTAATGCACTTCTAGCCATGACCATCCCAGTCCCCAGCACAAATTTCCCCCCCTCCCTCCACTGTGGTTGGGTGTAGGACCACTGGCACCCTAGAAATCAATACTGTTGCACTACACTAGCATTTACAGGAGGACAAGGTGATGTTTTACATCTTAAACAATGTGAGTGACCTGGTGTTTAAATAGTGTTGTACGCCGGGTGTTACAGTATTACACTATGTATTTTTTCTTTCCTACATCAAATTGAGTATGGCTGGGAAGAGAAGCTTGGAGGTGTGGGAAGGTGGAGAAAGTTCTCTTGTGCTGGAGTGGAGTTCTGGAGGTTTATCATAAGGGTCTAGGATCCCAAATATACCTAGAAGGCGTTTATTTCACCAGAATCTGGTGAGTGCGGTATATGTTGGCATAAAGCACATTTTTGGTGGAAGCACACACTTCATTGGAAAAAGGACTTATATTTTTGGCACTTGTGGTTATTTTACAGAATTTGTTTTGTTCACAATTTTTCACGTTTTTTGAGTGGGACTATTTATATTAATTTTAATGAATTTATTATTTTTTTTCATGATTTATATATGATTTAATTATTTGCGCTGTTTGAATGTTTTCATATAGTTTGGTGTAGATTGTACTTATGTACAGCAGCATTTAATTAATTTTGGTACACATAATCATAAATCTCCAGCACCAAATAAATATATTATATTACATATTTCCTCTGTCCAGACCTGCTCTGCCTTCCGGCTTTTGCCTGGATGCTCTGTAGACTGAAAGTTAAGGGGGGACTCTGCTGGGCACACATGGCTGTAAGGATAGCCATACATTATACAATTTTCCTTTAGATTTACCAAAACCATATAATATGAGGTCAATCCTAAACCAATTCAATGTGTATGCAATCAAGCAGGCCCTTGCAATACATACACTATATTGCCAATAGTATTGGGACTCCCCTCCAAATCATTGGATTCAGGCGCTCCAATCACCTCCATGGCCACAGGAGTGTAAAATCAAGCACCTAGGCATGCAGACTGCTTCTACAAACATTTGTGAAAGAATGGGTTGCTCTCAGGAGCTCAGTGAATTCAAGCGTGGTACCATGATAGGTTGCCACCTGTGCAATAAGTCCATCAGTGAAATTTCCTGGCTACTAAATATTCCACGGTCAACTGTTAGTGGTATTATAAGAAAGTGGAAGGAACTGGGAACAACAGCAACTCAGCCACGAAGTGATAGGCCACATAAAGTGACAGAGTGGGGTCAGCGCATGCTGAAGCGCACAGTGCGCAGAAGTCGCCAACTGTCTGCAATGTCAATAGCTAAAGACCTCCAAACTTCACATGTGGCCTTCAGATTAGCACAACAACAGTGTACAGAGCATCATGGAATGGGTTGCAATGGCTGAGCAGCTGCATCCAAGCCTTACATCACTAAGCGCAGTGCAAAACATCGGATGCAGTGGTGTAAAGCACTTCGCCACTAGACTCTAGAGCAGTGGAGACATGTTCTCTGGAGTGACACTTCTCTGTCTGGCAATCCGATGGATGTGTCTGGGTTAAGCGGTTTGCAAGAGAACAGTACTTGCCTGAATGCACTGTGCCAAGAGTAAAGTTTGGTGGAGGGGGGATTATGATGTGGGGTTGTTTTTCAGGGGTTGGGCTTGGCCCCTTAGTTCCAGTGAAGGGAACTTTTAAGGCGTCAGCAAACCACAACATTTTGGTTAATTTCATGCTCTCAATTTTGTCGGGACAGTTTGGGGATGGCCCCCTTCCTGATCCAACATGACTGCGCACCTGTGCACAAAGCAAGGTCCATAAAGACATGGATGAGAGAGTCCTGACCTCAACCCAACAGAACACATTTGGGATGAATAAGAGTGGAGACTGCAAGCTAGACCTCATCCGACATCAGTGCCTGACCTCACAAATGCGCTTCTGAAAGAATGGTCCAACATTCCCATAGACACACTCCTAAACCTTATTGACAGCCTTCCCAGAAGAGTTGAAGCTGTTATAGCTGTAAAGGGTGGGCCAACTCAATATTGAACCCTACAGACTAAGACTGGAATGCCATTGAATTTCATGTGCGTGTAAAGGCAGACGTCCCAATACTTTTGGCAATATAGTGTAGAAACTGAATAAGAAAATTGTATGTATGGCCAGCTTAAGGGGGGATGCTGATGTGCACTTCACGGTATGAGCCCTCTATGGCACACCAACACAAATAGGCCTTTGGCCCCTTTCACACGAGTGGACCAATGGGGTCTGCCTATCCATTTTTTCAGGTGGACCAGATCGGTCCATCCATAGACTTCTATGGACTGGCAGATGTCAGCGGTCATCCGATCCGATCCATTCCCCATTTGTCCAGCGGATAAGATGAAAATCGGGTGGAAACGGGCAGGCAGTCCGTTTCTATCCGACCGCAGCAGAGCGGGCAGAGACCTGTCATCCGCCTCCTCAGCGGAGAGATCCCCCACTAAGCAGGTGGATCACAATGACCAATTCCAGTGTATTTCACCCATTCTGGAAAGCCCAGATGCTGCATACAACTGCCCATAGACGCAAGTTTATTTATTTTATTGACCGTATTTTTCGCTCCATAAGACGCACTTTTTTCCCCCAAAAAGAGGGGGGAAAATGTCAGTGCGTCTTATGAAGCGAATGTAAAGCGGCCGGTCCGGTATTTCTGCCGCCACCATGTCAGAATATCGGGCCGCTCAGCTCTTCTCTCCTGCAGGACCTTACCTGTTCCTCGCTCCAGCGCTGTACAGTCTTCCCGCGGCGGCTTCTGTGACAGCCGGGTGCCCACTGCGCATGCGCGAGAAGCGCCACGCTTTGTGAATGGTACGGTGTCTTCTGGGACACATGGCAGGTCCCAGAACGCTCCGGGCCATTTACAAATAGCATCGCTTCTCGCGCATGCGCAGTGGACACCCGGCTGTCACAGAAGCCGCCGCCGGAAAGAAGGAAGGACAACTCCGCGGAAGTGGGAGCGGGTACCTGTCAAATTCAGGTACCCGTTCCCCCTCCCTCCCCAAAGGTCCGCAGTCTCTGGTAATCTCCTTTTCTGTCTGCTGTCTCTGGTCTTCTGTACTATGTCCACAGTCTCTGGTCATTTCCTGTACTGTGTCCGCATTCTCTGTTCATTCCCTGTACTGTGTTTGCAGTCTCTGGTCATCCCCTGTACTGTGTCCGCAGTCTCTGGTCATCCCCTGTACTGTGTCCGCAGTCTCTGGTCATCCCCTGTACTGTGTCCGCAGTCTCTGGTCATCCCCTGTACTGTGTCCGCAGTCTCTGGCCATCTCCTGTACTGTGTCCGCAGTCTCTGGCCATCTCCTGTACTGTGTCCCGCAGTCTCTGGTCATCTCCTGTACTGTGTCCGCAGTCTCTGGCCATCTCCTGTACTGTGTCCGCAGTCTCTGGCCATCTCCTGTACTGTGTCCGCAGTCTCTGGTCATCTCCTGTCCTGTGTCCGCAGTCTCTGGTCATCCCCTGTACTGTGTCCGCAGTCTCTGGTCATCTCCCCTGTACTGTGTCCGCAGTCTCTGGTCATCCCCTGTACTGTGTCCGCAGTCTCTGGTCATCCCCTGTACTGTGTCCGCAGTCTCTGGTCATCCCCTGTACTTTGTCCGCAGTCTCTGGTCACCCCCTGTACTGTGTCCGCAGTCTCTGGTCATCCCCTGTACTGTGTCCGCAGTCTCTGGTCACCCCCTGTACTGTGTCCGCAGTCTCTGGCCACCCCCTGTACTGTCCGCAGTCTCTGGTCACCCCCTGTACTGTGTCCGCAGTCTCTGGTCATCCCCTGTACTGTCCGCAGTCTCTGGTCATCCCCTGTACTGTGTCCGCAGTCTCTGGTCATCCCCTGTACTGTCCGCAGTCTCTGGTCATCCCCTGTACTGTGTCTGCAGTCCCATTGGTTCAGAATCTTTTTTTTCTTATTTTTCTCCTCTAAAACCTAGGTGTGTCCTATGGAGCGAAAAATACGGTATTTACATTTATGCAGCACTTTACATATATATTTTACATTCACATCAGTGCCTAACCCTCAAGGGGTGTATCTAAGGTCCCTAACTTACATTCATACATACACATACTAGGGCCAATTTAGACAGGATCCAACAAACCTACCAGCATGTCTTTGGAGTGTGGAAGGGAACCAGAGTACCCGGAGGAAACCCACGCAGGTACAGGGAGAACATGCAAACTCCAGGCAGGTGGTGCTGTGGTTGGCATTCAAACCAACAACCCTAGTACTGCCAGGTGGAAGTGCTAACCATTTAGCCACTGTGCTGCTGTGCATGGCTGTTTTCTGGTATAAGGTGGTGCTATTGCAAACCTTAATACACCATACATGCATATTCAAAAAGTAGAACATTTTCTGGGTTTTTTTTGCATATGCTGGTACACCATGCTCAGGTTAACATTGGTGTGCCTATAAACATACGTACAGCCAAACACAGCCATTCATGTCTTTGGAAGGTTCTACACAGGATCTGGGCCTTTCTGGCAAGGGAAAGATGCTGGAACGCACATTGCACAGACCCAAGGCCAAGTGCAAGAGGTCTTACGTGTGTGTATATGTGAATACATTCGTCTCTGAATGCAGGATTTGGGCATTTATTTATCTAGATTTGGGAGCTAAATGCTGTCAAGGGCATGGGCACATTAGTGATAACAGAGCTGCATTTTAATCTATTAAAAAAAAAAATCTATTAAAAAAAAAATCTATTAAAAAAAAAACGTTGTTTACGGATGTGAGCGTGGCGTTCTTTGCGTTCATGTCACTGAGCCTATATACAGTAAAACAAATGCACCTCCACTACAAAGCATCTCAGTGGACAGATGTAAGGCTTCATTCACACAGGCATATTTTTATATTCTGGTTGGAATGCAGGTTTTTGCTGGCAGAGGTAGCAGAAGACTATGTAAAATACACACATTTTGGGTGCTTTCACACTGCTCCTTTGAAAAAAAACACATTAAAAAGCATATGCATAACCAGTGCGTTTTCCGGTTGGCATGCACCTCAAACATGGATATGTGACAAAAAATGTATCAAAAACACAATTGCAGTGCGTTTTTTATGCGTTCACCATTCATTTCAAAGTGGAGCTGTATTTTGCTGTGGTTTTGAAAAGCATACCAAAGATGCAGCATGCAGGATTTTTCGAAATGCACCGCACCCGCAGCACAGTGGTGTGAAGAGTCCCATAGGATTTAAAGGGATATATGTTTATTGCATCTTTAGCAAGGTAAAAATGCAGCAACAACACATCAGTGTGAAAGGGCCCAAAGTACTTGTGTTTATGCTGCATTCACAGGGCCCATATATTGTGAATGGGCCTTTTTTCTGCATTCCTAGCCAGCAGGTGGTAAGTGCAAGTAGCCCATTCAAGTCTATTAGGAGGCAGCAACAGCATGGACACAGCCACTCATCCTAACATGACAGGTGTCCAGGTAAGGCCTGTCACATTAGGAGGATCGGCTCTGTCTGTGCTGCAACTGGGACCTCATAGACATGAATGGGCTACTTGTAAGTAGTACCTGCTGGCTGTTCTTAGTATATGTGCCTCAATGCATGTGTGAACAAGGTCATAGATGAGTAGATTGCTTCCAATGGTTTCATGCTTGTATGTGTATATATGTTTACACTCAGAAATTCTTCAGGCCCAGTGTCCTACTTCTTTACACCACAGAAACACAGTCCAGATGCATTCTGGATGGGTTTCTGCATGTGCGTTTACATGTGTGTTCTAATGCGTTCCGATGCGTTTTTGGATGCAACGCTCCATGAACAAAAAGGTTTTTGAGTTACTTTGGGGTATTTGTTCCACATAAGGCCTGATGCATGTTTACACACAATAAACACATGGGAACGCATGTTTCTGCTGCACTCAGGTGTGAATGAAATGTGCTTGGGAGGAACGTTTTAGGCAGCAAGGATGACCTGAGAGGAGAGGTGAGTGTTACAAAAGAAAAACATTTACCTTACCAAAGTCACATAGGAATCGCTTCTTACTAATGCTGATGCGACTTCTGTGAGTGTTCAACACTATGGGCTTAAATCGCTGGGCACTCCTGAAAACAATGAGATTTCCCTTGTCATGCAATTCTGTGTGACTCGAGTCCCATCAAAAGTCGCACTAGTGTGAAGGGGGCTAATTAGTGACTTGTGCATTCAGGTCTGTTTTTGATGCATTTCAGTACAGTTCAGTGCAGAAAAAAACGCAGCATGTTCTCATTTTTATTCCGAACTGGAATGCACTGCAGTGAACAATGCCATCGCTATCCATACAACCTACCAGCCCTTATGTGGTGCAAATGTTCATTTTCAGACGCAGCTGTGTGTACAGTATGGCCCATCGATTCTGACAGTGCTGCATTTCCATTTTACAGATTCTAAACTCTTATGAGTAGGGCCCTCTTAATCCTCTTGTTTTCATTATATTGTAGCTGTACTGTCTCCTTTTTTATTGTAAGGCGCTGCGCAAATTGTTGGCGCTATACAAGTCCTGTATAATGATAATAATATGTGTACAGAACTATATGCTGTGTTCATCTAAACGCAGTGTTTTAGATATCTGTGTGCATGAGCCCTAAGGGTCGGTTCACACTATAAAAACACAGTCCAGATGCGTTCCGGGTGCATTTCTCCATGTACAAATTTGACGCGTTCTGATGCGTTTTTGATACGTTCCAGTGCGTTTTTGAAGAGTTCCAGTTCACTTCTTCCCCTCTCATTTTTCAATTTAAATAGGGACATGTGCATTCCAGTGTGTTCTGGTGCGTTTTACCATGTTCCAGTACAGTTCTGTGCAGGAAAAATGCAGCCTGTTCTACTTTTTTTTCTGAAACTGGAACTGCAAGCACTGATGTGAACTATGGCATTGACAACCATATAACCTACTTTCTGTGTGAACCATTTCAGGTGTGTATTTTACGTTAACCACTCCTTTCACACGAACCATTGCAGGTGTGTATTTTGCGTTAACCACTCCATTCACACGAACCATTGCAGGTGTGTATTTTACTTTAACCACTCCTTTCACACGAACCATTGCAGGTGTGTATTTTGCGTTAACCATTCCATTCACACGAACCATTGCAGGTGTGTATTTTGCGTTAACCATTCCATTCACACGAACCATTGCAGGTGTGTATTTTACGTTAACCACTCCATTCACACGAACCATTGCAGGTGTGTATTTTGCGTTAACCATTCCATTCACACAAACCATTGCAGGTGTGTATTTTGCGTTAACCATTCCATTCACACGAACCATTGCAGGTGTGTATTTTGCGTTAACCATTCCATTCACACAAACCATTGCAGGTGTGTATTTTACGTTAACCACTCCATTCACACGAACCATTGCAGGTGTGTATTTTACATTAACCACTCCATTCACACGAACCATTGCAGGTGTGTATTTTACCTTAACCACTCCATTCACACAAACCATTGCAGGTGTGTATTTTACGTTAACAACACCCCAAAATCAGTTCACAGAACGCGGTGTGATGTGCAGAATCGGATTGCATGGGTGTAAACAACCATGCAATCCGATTCTAGTGCGAACTAAAAAAGGGTTATGCACCTTTTTGGTATGAATGTGATATGATTTGAGCCATACAAAATGTATGGCTCAAATCGCACCGCACAGAATTTGCATGTGATTTGCACAGGTATGCGGTGTGTTCCCTGTACGAATCCCATGTGGTATGTTGCACGGCACAAGTGTGAACGCAGGCAGTTCAGTGCATCCTGCAGTGTCCAGAAGCAGCACAGGGGCGTTATTTTGTGCATTGAGGCTGATATAAAGGTGTGACTTGGTCCTCAATAGATCACCCCAATGACCCCCTAGGTGTCTGTTTGATGACAGTAACCGCCTGCAGTCTCGGTTCACACTTGTGCAGTGCAGGACACGGCATGTAAATTGCACAACAATCACACCACCTTCCTGTGCAAATCACATGCGATGTCTGTGCCATGCACTTTGAGTCATACATTTTGTATAGATCAAATCCCATCACCTTTTTTCCAGCACCTGATTTGTATAGCATGGATGTTCACACCCATGCGATGCGCTTTTGGCAATCGCACTGCGTTTTGCGATCTGTTTGGTTGTGTCAATAATTTAACACCCGCACCACAGGATTCCTGCACGGCATTAGTGTGAACAAGGGCTCACTCCCCGGTAACAGGGCGATGCATAGTGGGCACAGAGTTGGGTTGGCCCTGCTCCATATTGCAGAATGGAGGACACCCCATGAGCAGTGAGTGACTGGAGTTGTAGTTGTATCTTAGCAACCACTGCAGGTTACAGGGGGAAGTGGAGAGAATGAGAACAAGCGCCCTCCCCTCCCCCTCTGCTCTATACCTCATATAATGAGCACCGCCCACCACTCACCTCCTGTACTCCAGGTACTCGTCTATGGCCCCGGCGGCCCCCGGGAAGTGCAGTCCCTCCATGGTGTCAGGCAGGTGGAGGAGGTGAAGCAGGAAGACAGCTGACACGGAAGGAGCCTGGGCTGTCCCTGTGGGCGGCTCCTCACAACCTGCTACACAGGGACAAGCCTGCACATCCCACACTACTGCTGAGGGCTGGCCCACTCGTGGAACTACAAGTCCCAGCATGCCCATTGGAGATCACACTACAGAGCTGACTCCATGTCTAATGATTTCCCGAGAGCTCTGTCAGCACTTAGTGGACCCAGCAATCCTAGACTGGAAAAACAGGGCTGACCTCCACACTGGAATGATTGCCTCTTCTGCCTAAAGTGATTGCAAAGGTTATTGTTTATTAAAATAAAAAAGTTGTTGTACTTACCTGCTGCGCATTGATACTTACCTCCTCTTCTGATCTTCTAATTCTTCAATGTACCCCCTCAGGAAGCTGGGCACTATGGGGGCAGATGTTCGGGCGCACTTCCAAGCCGGGCTGTGTACGTCCATAGACACACACAGCATGACTCCTCACAGGATTCCACTGACAGCAGCAAGAGACTATGGCTCCCCCTGCGCTCAGTGTATCCAGTGAGAAGAGGAACGCTAGGTTCACACCTAGGCGTTTGCTGCAGCTTGCGGCTGTGCATTTAAATGGACTGCTGTACCTGCGGGAAACAGAAAAATGGTACCTGCACCTTGGTACCTGCGATTTCCCAGCTGCATTTTCAGATGCATGAGGGTGCCATGAAGAATGAATGGCAGTCCCGCACATCTGCAAAAGCGCACTATGGTTGCGGTATGGGGATAGGTGTGATTTGATGCAACAATGTGAACCTAGCTGAAGAGGGGAGAGCGTGCTGTAGACAGGACAGTGCTGGATCAGTGAAGGAGGCAGGCAAGTGTTTGGGGGGGGGGGGGGGGGGCAGAAAATGTATTGGGACATTTTTTACCTTAACCCCTTGCCTACAGGGCACTTTCACTCGCTTCCTGCCCAGGCCAATTTTCAGCTTTCAGCGCTGTTGCTCTTTGACAATTGTGCAATCACATAACACTGTACCCAAATTACATTTTTATCATTTTTTTGAGACGTAAAGCTTTCATTTGGTGGTATTTACTCATTACTGGGTTTTTCATTTTTTGCTGAACAAATGAAAAAAGACCACAAATTTGGAAAAACATTTTTTCTTAGTTTCTGATATACAATTTTGCAAACAGGTAATATTTCTCCTTCACTGATGTGTGTTGATGAAACTGCAGTGATGGGCACTGATAGGCTGCACTGATGGGTACTGATGAGGCAGCACTGATGGGCACTGATAGGCTGTACTGATGAGGCAGCACTGATGGGTACTGACAAGGAGGCACTGATGATGAAGCAGCACTGATGGGCACTGATAGGCTGCACTGATGGGTAATGATGAGGCAGCACTGATGGGCACTGATAGGCAGCACTGATGGGTACTGATGAGGCAGCACTGATGGGCACTGACAAGGAGGCACTGATGAAGCAGCACTGATGGGCACTGATAGGCTGCACTGATGGGTACTTATGAGGCAGAACTGATGGGCACTGATAGGCAGCACTGATGGGTACTGATAGGCTCAATTGATGGGCACTAGGAGAGGAGACATCTTTGCATGTAGTTTACAACAATCTCAGTTAAATTTCAGGGGGGCTTCTAGTCCCTAGCCCATAAGGGGCAGTTGCTACTGATCCGTAATGTCTGACCGCTTTCAAGGAAAAGAACAGTCCAGGACATGCTTCTGTAAATAGGAAGGAAGTTGTCCCCGTGCATTGATTCTGTAAGTTGGGCATCTCATAATCCAAGTTCCATCCTGTCACATAATGAGCCTGACATGCAGAGGAAGGCCTCTTGTAAAGCTCCGGCTCAAGGGTCACTGATAGTGGAGCAGTAACCACGAGAGCACAGCAAGGTATGGTCTGCATGGGTAATAGCCGAGGTCATGCTGGAAGGGTGTCTGGAACAGGACAGCTGGAGGCAGGCATGTTTCTCAGCAGAACACTATGGTAGTAGGACGATGTCACAGCAGGACAGACTGGTAGCACAGGCTGGCGGCATGTAGATGGCACAGCAGAGCAGGCTGGTAGCGGACAGGTTGGCAGCAAGTAGATATCACAGCAGGACAGACTGGTAGCAGACAGGCTGGCGGCAGCTAGACGGCACAGCAGAGCAGGCTGGTAGCAGAGGCTGGCGGCAGCTAGACGGCACAGCAGAGCAGGCTGGTAGCAGAGGCTGGAGGCAGGTAGACGGCACAGCAGAGCAGGATGGTAGCGGACAGGTTGGCAGCAAGTAAAGGTCACAACAGGACAGACTGGTAGCACAGGCTGGCGGCAGGTAGATGTACCAGATGAAGATGTGCTGGACTGCAGAGCTGTAACAGGCTGGATGAGTAGGATGCAGGGTCAGACGAGCCACTTTGGCAACAGACAAGCAGATCAGGCATAAACGGCAGACAAGAGAAAAGTTGGGTTACAGGCCAGGGTCAGCAGTGGTAGAGGCAGATCAGGCAGAGGCAGAATCCAGAGAACAAGCCGAGGTTAGGGCAGGTAGCAAACAAGCGGAGTCAGAAGCAAGTCGGGTCAAGATCAGAGGTCACACACAGGAGTCAGGATATACATGCACAGAAACTGCAGGCCAAAGAGCAATTAGCCAGTGCAGTAGCACTGTTTAGATAGGCAGTTTGGCGCCAGTCTTGGTGACAGGTGCGTGCCCAATTGCGTGATTGAACATGTGTGCCCATGTGCGTGTGCCTATGTTCAAAATAATAGCAGTGTGTTGAAAAAAGGGAATAAAGCTCAAAATCCTTCTAATAGCTTTTATTTCCATACACACAAATGCATTGGGAACACTACACATTCTATTCCAGAAGAAAAGTGAATATTAGACTTCAAAAAAATAGCAGTGTTTGTATTCTTCTTTACAAACTCAAACATTCACTATATAAACTGAAAAATGTTTGAAGATTTTGCTTTCCTTTGAATCACTTAATCAATATTTAGTTGTATAAGCACTGTTTCTGAGAACTGCTGTACATCTGTGTTGCATGGAGTCAACCAACTTCTGGCACCTGTGAACAGGTATTCCAGCCCAGGATGATTGGACTACATTCCACAGTTCTTCTCTATTTCTTGGTTTTGCCTCAGAAACTGCATTTTTGATGTCACCCCACAAGTTTTCTATTGGATTAAGATCCGGGGATCTTACTTTCATCAGTCCACAAAATGTTGCGCCATTTCTCTTTAGGAAAGTCAATGTGCTCTTTGGCAAATTATAACCTCTTCAGCACATGTCTTTTTTTCAACAGTGGGACTTTGCGGGGGCTTCTTGCAGATAGCTTGGCTTCACATAGGCGTCTTCTAATTGTAACAGTACTCACAGGTAACTTTAGACCTTCTTTGATCTTCCTGGAGCTGATTGTTGGCTGAGTCCTTGCCATTTTGGCTATTCTTCTATCCATTCGAATGGTAGTTTTTCGCTTTCTTCCACGTCTTTCAGGTTTTGGTTGCCATTTTAAGGGCTCGTTCACACTTGACTGTTTTACCAACGCTTGCCAAATGCCCCTATAGCGTTTGGCAAGCGTTGGTCCGGCGTTTGCCGAGCGTTTTTTAACGCTCGGCAAACGCCGCATGCGCGGTTTAGCTGAGGTTGCTAGGCATTTGCCGAGCATTAAAAACGCCCCACAAACTCCTAGAATGAAGTTTGAATGGTGTTACCACTCCGCAAACGCCCCGCAACTGCGCCGCAAACGCCGGCCGGGCGTTTGTGGAACGGCCCCATAGACAAGAAAAGGAGGCTTCAACGCCTCCTGACTCGTCCAGAGGCGTCTGCTTTGCCACGACACGCCGCGATGCTACTGCTCCCATTAGAACAGCACCATGTGCTGCAATGTGCAGAATTACCAGAGGCGTTTGGGAAGCGGTAAAAACGCTTCCCAAACGCCTCTCTGCCGCCTGCACACAACGCTAGTGTGAACGTAGCCTAAAGCATTTACGATCATTTTAGCTGAGCAGCCTATCATTTTCTGCACTTTATATGTTTTCCCCTCTCCAATCAACTTTTTAATCAAGGTACGCTGTTCTTCTGAACAATGTCTGGAACGACCCATTTTCCTCAGAATTTCAGAGAGAAATGCACTGTAACCAGCATGTACAACATTTGCTGCCTTCCTTCCTTAAATAAGGGCAATAACTGCCACCCGTTTTTCAAAGAATGAATGACCTCACTAATAGAACGCCACACTGCTATTATTTTGAACACGCCCCTTTCAATTAGTGATTCAATTACACAGAATCAGCAGCATGCATGTCATGACTGTTGGGTCTGTTGGATTTCTTTTACTCTACTACACCTGCTAGTAAATTATTTGCCATGTAGAAATATCATTTCTACCAAAACCAGTGATTGATCCGGTTAGAGATGTCTGACTGCTATTATTTTGAACACAACTGTACTTGTGCACATCTGCCCGACCAGTTGCCGATCTGCGCCGAGAAACTTTACCTGCACTATTGCAAGCCTTCCCTGACACATCCCCTGATAAAATAACAAAAACCAAGCTCATGGACTGTTCACTGACTGCGGATGCAAGTGTAGAAAATGTGTTTTTCCCGGCTGTGCGAACCTTGGAGGGATCCAGAAACACAGCGACCCTCGAGGGTAGCACTACAAGTAGATTGCCGCTACTGGGATTCACAGTGTGACAAAATGCCTGTGCAAATGGTGCCTAAGACCTACTATAATTTGGTGTATATAGACAGAGTGCTTGTCCCTGTATGCAGTGTAACAGCACTGCATATTTGCTGCCACTACCCCCTCCCTGTCAATGTTTATTAAGGATGCCGTTGGCTTAACAGCCAATAGCTTTCTAGCAACCAGTGACACTGCAGTGGGCACAGCCTTATGGGGGCACTGAGACACTAGTTTCCCACCAGGTCCGTTCCCTCTATGTGATTGACAGCTGTCTATTGGCTAAGGATCTACCCACTGCCTGCTGTCAATCAC